TAATTGAATTTGAGGCAAACAGAGTGAGTCTTCTTGTAATGTATTTTATTATAACCTATTCATAAACATAATGTATAAGGGTAATACCCAATACTCAACATAACCAATACTCATTTTTGCCTTGCTCAAATGCATAGCGAGTTGACTCACTCTGTTTGCCTCAAATTCAATTAATTCAAATTAGTTTAAAATATTACATAGAATTTTATTTAGAAATTTTTTAGAAACAGCATTTTCATTCAAATTATTACTAACGAGCAATAGTTGGCCACTTAAGTTGCGATATCGGTATTAAAGGCCACTAATTGTGTAGTTGATACCAAATAAACTAATTTAACGCTAATATCTCGGGCTGATAGCCCAATGGGCGCCTCTGGCAGGGGGTTTTAAGTTTCAATTACATTAGAGAGTTGCATAGATACTAGCGCCACTTGTTTTGCGGCATACAAGTCAACTAACTATCATAAGCATAACAACACATAAGAATTGAAACTTAAAACCCCCTGCCAGAGGCACCCATTGGGCTATCAGCCCGAGATATTAGCGTTAAATTATTTTATTTGGTTTAAACTTGGCTTGGCCAAACGCGATCGTCATTTGTGTAAGAATAGGGTGACCAACATATAAAGTTTAGCACAACTATTGAATACTCATTTCTAATAATTTATAAGTAATTAGAAATACATTTCTATTTCTGGAAATTTCGACATTATCTATGACACAATTAAATAATTATTACACTTTGTTTATTAACCTTAATAATGTTGTTGTTTGTTAAACAATTTGATTTTATATTAAATTATTAATATACAAATTCATGTGATTTTTTGAGGGAATTATCTGGTCAGTCTAAAAAAAGAGAACGCGTTCTCATTTTGGCCAAGCCAAGTCTAAACTACACAATTAGTGGCTTTTAATACCGATATCGCAACTTAAGTGGCCAACTATTGCTCGTAAATATTTTATTTTATTAGATTGTTTATATAGATTTAATTATATTTTAAGATTATATTTTAAAAACAATTTAAATAAATAAACTTAATAAAATTTTTAAATATTTATTTTATTAATTGTGTTCTCTCTCTGAAATATATACGTATATATATATTTCTTTCTTTCTTTCTAATTAAAACTGACATTTTAATTAGCAAATTATTATTAGGGTAAAAACATAAAATAAACGCCAAATAACACCAATTCTCCCAAACCTACACTGAGATTTTGGCACTTTGTGCATTAAATATTTCCCTAGCATCTTTGTTATTATATTAATTGTTGTAAAAAAATATTTACAATTAATAAATAAAATCTTCCTTAAAAAACTGTAAAACAAATTTAGTTTTATAAAATTACTTTATAAATATTGAATCAAACAGGATATTATAAAAACAACAACATTTTTACAACATTATACAGTTATAACATTTAAAAAAATATTATACAACATTTCATGTCTTAGTTATAATTATTTAAAATATTAATTTAACAAAATTTGAAACTCTTTCAACAAGTTGCTTATATCATAGTTTAATGAATATCATAATTTTTTCATAACCATACGGTAACTAATACACGTGTAAAAGTATTAAATTTAATTATGCTGCATCACATTAGATGTTTTTGTAATAACATAAACTAAAATTTTTATTTCCAGTTCACAAACGGTGTGAAGAGGTTTATGAAAACATTAAAAAGTAAAATACAAATATTAAAATGCGTACTACCACAATCATTTTGTTATTGTTAACAATGACTATGATGGCGACTATAACACGCGTTAACTCGGTGTTATCCAGCTCGTTACAGCGTGAAAAACGGGGTGACACGTATTACGTGAATGCAGACTTGTATGCAGCTCTCTCACGTGCCAAACGCCTGGCTGCAAATGGGATGAGAGGTCAAAGGGGACCACGAAAACATGGCCTTTGAAAACCCAACATTACCTTTATTAATTATAAATATTTATTGACAATGTAAAGCTTGTATTTGTATTTATAATTTAAATAAAACATTTTTAACAACAAATCAATATCAATGAATATGGTTTATAGAAAACGCTATTACTTTAAAGATTTAAAATGATGTTCCTATTATGAGATTTAAAATGGGATCGCTCAGTTTAATTCTGTAGGTTAATTTTATTAAATAAAATTATATATTTAAAATATTATATATCTAACAATTTTTTACAATTTTTTATAAAGTACATACAATATGTAGTATTTAAATTAATTAATTGCATTGAACTAATATTTGTTGTTTTAATAAAATTTTTATTAGTTACTTTATTATTAATAATAATTTATTATATCAATATTATAAAGTGTATTTAATAAAATAATCTTTTATTTGCGTGTAATGTGATGTAAAGCTTGTGTGTAATCGTCAACACATCTAACATGTGATGGAGTAATGGATGCGACGGTCGGACAGCCAGTGATTGTCATAATGTTATCCAATTCTGTATACAATATTTCTAATACACTCTTTACTCCCTCTGAACCCTAAAATAATAGCAAACAAATAAAAATTAATTTTAATTAAAAACAAAATAACAAATTAAACAGATGTTTATGGACTTTGACTAATCTGCCACTCTTGGGAAAGTGCCACCCTGCCACGTTTGTTAGGCGGACGTTAGGTCGACCCAAATACCGACAACAATCAACAGTTGCAGGACCTATACAACGTTTTTTCCGCAAAATTTACAATTTTCCAGAAAAGTTTTTATTAAAATTTTTAATGTAAAAATGTCATTATTAGTTGTGGAAATCTATTATATAATTTTTATTAATTTATTTTCACAAAAAACTCATTTTTTTGTTTCCGAGATTATGAAAAATTTGACGGAAAAAATGTTGTATAGGTCCTGCCACTGTTGATTGTTGTCGGTATTTGGGTCGTCCTAACGAACGCCTAACAAACGTGGCAGGGTGGCACTTTTCCAAGGGTGGCAGATTAGTCAAAGTCTGTTTATGTCTTACACTATGGACGAGACCCCAACACACGGGTCGGCCCACAAACACCGCCCGCGCGCCCAATGCCAGGGCTTTGAACACATCGGCACCGCTGCGGACACCGCCGTCCAGATAGACCTCACACTCGCGGCCCACCTCTGCCACGATCTCAGGCAACGCCTCTAACTATTAAACCCACACAAAAAATATAAATAACCACGATAATTAATTTTATTCACATACAGTGGCAGGTGCGCTGTCCAACTGTCGACCGCCGTGATTGGACACTAGTATAGCGTCGGCCCCGCTGTCCACAGCCAGCCGCGCGTCCTCTGCCGTTAGTATACCCTTAATAACCAACGGTATGTCCACCTGTGCCTTAAGCCAGGCCACATCGGCCCAGGTAGCGTTGTCGGCCACCCTAGCTCCCGCCCCATAGGGTTCATAATTAACCCTATTGTCTGCGTTAGTGAAATTGTTTTTCTGGTTGTGATACCGGAGTCCCAACACTGGCATATCGACGGTCAGTAGTAGGGCTTTATAACCGCTGGCCTGCGCTCTAAGGGCCAGATCTCTCGTCACCTCCCGGTCTCGGTATATGAATAGTTGCATCCATTTGTGTAGTGAGGGTTCGGCACCAGCGATGTCCTCCAGTGTCACCCGTGAGCCACTGCTGACAGCCATTATTGTCCCGAATTGGTCTACAGCTAAGAAATGTATATTGTAAGTTTGTTGTTTTAGTGCTAGTTACTATTTGTGATTAATTATTATTTTGAACTTAGTTTAGTAACTTATTTAATATTTTGATTAAATGTAAAAATTATTTATTTTATATTAAACATTTAAAATTATAATAATTTTAAACTATTATTACTGCTAACTATTTTTACCTTAATTATAATAATAATTTTTAATAAATTTTAACTATAACTATAACTTAATTATAATTATAAATAAATTTGACAATACCTTTAGCCGTGTCTAACTCGGCGTTAGAGTGAACAGCGGTGTTGAGCCCGAAAGGGGACACACATATGGGCGCCCGTATGGTATGGCCCAACACTTGTACAGTGAGGTCTCGATGGGACACATCTACCATATATCGGGGTCGGATACGGAGCCGACTGAACGCCTCCCGATTGGCCCTCAGTGTCAGGTCATCCATAGCACCGCGATTTAGGTAATCCCTGAGCGGTTGATCCAACTTCTCATTGGCCGCGGTCTCGATGTCTCGCAATAATGCAGACATTATTATAGCTGTTGGTGTAAACAGTAGTTTAGTTGTGAACACTAATAGTATTGTTAATATTTTGGTAATATTCTTAATTCACATGTTACTTGAACGAGATATTTTTAATTAACAAGATCATTCTGACTCGTTGATTGTAATTTACTTAATTATAAAATAAATTTATTAACTGTTATTTAGAATTTATGTTGAGTTTTTGATGTTTTATGAAGGTTGTTGTATATATTTATTAAATTACTTGTTACGTATAGTTATCCCTTCGTTAATAAAACAACTGGTTTATGTAACTAAAAGTGTCAATCAAATAACCAAGGTTCTTTATTTTACAGCAATATGGTGCGTTTGGTCAAATACAACTGTGTAAATATTTATTTACATTAATGGTTAGAGGGAGGCCGGGGCTTAAACATATTGAACGTGGTTAGTGAATTATCAAGTTTATTAATCAACTATTATTCATGATAAACGTTACAATACTTGCAGTCATCAAGTGCCCTGATGCTAATAATGTTTATGAATATATAGTAAATGAGTTTAAACCCCATTTGTTATATTAGTATACTCTATATATGAATGAATTATGAATAGTGTATAAATTATTACACATTTGAATAATGCTGTGTCCACGCAGGTGGACAAACCGGTCATACATGTTTATTTACAAAGTGATCCCGCGCTTATTAATAGTTAAGTTATATTTTGCCAATATTTGAAAAGTAATGAATGATAATAAATGTATTGTAGTGTTAGACATGCCATTTTTAATGTTAAACATTTTATTGCATTTATTGATAATAGACTATCACTATCATAATCCAATACTAATAGCATTAATTTTAGTTTAAAATTATTAAAAAAAGGTAACATTTACTCGGTAAATGAATAAATATAATTGCAATATGAGTAATTATATAATAGATATTTTAAAAATTAATAATCATATGATAACAATAAATGTGCAAATCATCATGTTACTAAACTTTTAATTTATATTTTATTACTAAATATGCGTTAATAATTACATACAATATTAAATGCTTTGTAATCAAATTAAACCTAACACAAATAAAACAATATTATAAGGATGTAACCATGATCAATAGATTTTATATAGTATAAATGTCAAATTGGTTACAGAATAAAATATTTTGAAAAAGCCTTACAAATATTATTTAATAAAATATTTTATTTAATTTATTGATCATAACTTATATAAAAGTGATTAAAATTTATTAAGTAAATTAAATCAATATGAACACACATGATACCGTGTTATTTAAATGTGCAAAATGGTGTTTAATTGTTTACTGTTTAACCACCACGGTACTTATATTAAGCACTGTATATTTATGGGATCATGTGAGTATTAAATAACTATGGATTTACACTGACATTAAATAATAAAATTTGTTTTATTATATTCATTTAAAATAGCACCCATGGATACTTGGCCTATTGCTAGCGCATTTAATTGGCCTAGCTGCAACACATACTGAGCATCATGGTCTAGCATTATTATTTGCCATAATTATGATCATGGCCAGTGTTACCATGTATTTTGCTATATTAATGGGCGTAGCTTCAAACATTTGGACCCTGGTGTATCAAATGGCATTTACCTGGATAGCTGTCTCGTTTGCCATAGATTGTTTCCGGATAAAAGTGACCAAGTACACTTGCCCGAACGGTGTGTGCCGATTATTAGACAAGGATGGTTTGCAGCAAACAACAAACCAGCTTGATTTAAATAATAACTGCAAGTGTATGCCCGCCAATTGTAATAATCAAATTTAACAATATTGTTTTATTTTAAGTAATTCCCAATAATGTATATTATTATGTAAAAGCATTAAATATTCATTGAAATTTGCATTTAAAACTTGGACTTTAATTAAATTATTTTATATAATAAGAATTCACTTATGTTATATTATAAATATTTACAACATTAAGTAAATTAGTACAGATTGCACTGGGTTATAATTAAAATTATAGCCGTGTTAGTTAAACTGATTAAACAAAAAAATCTTGACAAGTTAACACTATCAGATTGCAATACAAATTACAAAGTGTGTTACACTGATTGCACATGTTACACTATTTGTACTTTTTACACTTTTTATAATTTTATAACTCTATTGCATTAATAACAATATCATTTACTTATCAAGGTCATTTCATGTTAGTCCATTCAATAATCTGTGTATATAAACCAACTTAAAGAAGTGTTTTTGAAAAATATATTGTTTTTATTATTTAACCTAACCATTTTAAATAATTTGATCAACTGTAATAGTATAATAAAATGTAATATTAACAAATTACTTAATTTGATTTAATCTTAATTGGTGTGTATTAATTATAATATATTTTTTATAACAAGTTGTTAATAAATAGGTAACAAATAAATCTCAAATTAGAAATAAAGGTTAACCAAAAACTAACCAAATCAATTCTTATGCCTAGTTTAATTTCATAAACCAGGATGGCCACTACAACTGAAACCAAGGAATCCCTACTATTCACACCGATAACACTGCGTGGGGTAACCTTAAAAAACCGTATATGCGTGGCGCCAATGTGCCAGTACTCGGCCACTGGCCGGGACGGTGTGGCCACCGATTGGCATATGGTGAGCACCGGTGCCTACGCCCAGGGCGGCGCCGGTCTAGTGATGTTGGAGGCCACGGCGGTGGAGGCCAGGGGTCGGATATCGCCCGGCTGTCTGGGCCTGTGGCAGGATGACCAGATCGAGCCGCTGGCCCGAATCGCCCGGTTTATCAAAGGCCAAGGATCGGTGCCGGCCATACAACTAGCCCATGCAGGTCGTAAGGCTAGTACAGTTGTGCCGTGGGATGGCCATCATAGTTTGCCGGACTCGGAGGGCGGGTGGCCAACGATTGGCCCCTCGGCCCTGGCTTTTGGCACACCGGTATGGAAAGTGCCCAAAGAGGCCACTATTGATGATATTAATAAAATTAAGGAGGCGTGGGTTGGGGCCGCTATTCGGGCCGTTAAGGCCGGCTTTGAGGTAATTTTTAACTTATTATACATGTACAGGTTGATACAATTTCCCAATTCAAAATATTAAATTCACTATTAATTTATATTAATAATTAATATATGTTCATTAAAATGTTTATTAAATACCCTAGCTAATTGAGCTACACTTCGCCCATGGTTACCTGGTCAGCACATTCCTGTCACCGGTGAGTAACCAACGCCGTGACAAATACGGCGGGAGTTACGAAAACCGGGTGCGACTCGCGCTAGAAATAGCCGGCGCCGTACGCCAGGCCCTACCGGACACCGTAGCGCTCGGCGTACGCGTATCGGTCGCGGACTACGAGCCCAGGGGCTGGGACTTGGCTCAGACCATACAACTGGCCCGTGAGCTCAAAGCGCTGGGCGTAGACTTTCTCGACTGTAGCTCCGGGGGTGTCAGTCGGGACATTGACTACAACGCGCTAAACACACCGGACACTCAGATCGAGGCGGCGGGTCGTGTGCTCCGGGAGACGGGACTCCCTACCGGAGCTGTAGGTAAAATTGTCGACCCCCATCACGCTGAAAATATACTACGTTCGGGTGGTGCCAGCTTAATATTTATTGGCCGGGCATTCCTGGACAACCCTCACTGGCCCTTTGTGGCGGCCGACGCCCTGGCCACCCATGATACTTTTCAGTACCCACCGCAGTATGACTGGTGTATCGGATGGAAAGGGTTTTTCAAGTGGCGCCAGGAGGCTAAACAGGGGGTTAGGCAACCCCTGCTGGGTATGAGTATAGCGCAAGTGTTGCCTGGTAAACAGAGCAATAATCTTATGTATAATACTTGGATAACAATGAAAGCGGTCATTTATTGGAAGTACCTGGAGTGGTTCAGAGCTGAATGAGCTTGGTGTATTATTATAACATTTTGTAATTAATTAATAATTAAATGTTTAAAATTTTGAATTGTTTTGTCTTAAACTAAGTTAACGTTTTTGTTTTGCGTTGAATCATAACACGTAATGTGTATACGTTATAAACATAAAATAAATTACCTTGTTATTCTAAGATAAAACAATTGAATAATTAAGTAATAATAATGTACAACAATTATTCAATTAATTATTAATTTATTAATAAAAATGTCGCCTTTTTACTGTATAATAACTCAAATCTGTTTATTTATTTTGTGCTGTGAGTTAATTAGCAAACACGAGTTAATTAAATGTGAGAAAAATTATTATGCTGAATGCCAATGGGCATGGGTGGGGCCGTAGGGTTGGCCCCGGTATGTGCGGCCGATCCGGTAGCGTTGAATATCTCCTGTTGTGGTAGTGTTGGGTAAATACCGGTTAGGTTTGCCTGATTATTACCATAATCGTTATTATTATTCTGCCCAATAGGCTTCAAATCGGGACAACAGGGACCGGAATTAGTTACCAAAACGCCGACATTACGGTTGGAGTACCGGCGCTCCCGAATACCCCGGAACAGGCAGTACGACAGCACCGACACAATCAGGTACGCAATGGCGGCAATCCATTGGCATTTGTGCTTAAAGCTACTGATGATGAATACAATTGTGGCAAATATCATGTAGATTGTGAATGTCATCACCAGACATGGTATGGCTCGGGTGATACCCACGCAGCCCAACGTGTTGAACAGCACTAGTAGATTGAGTAATTAAAGTAAAGTTATTAAAATAATTATCAATATATTCATTTTAAATATAGTAAATAAAAATATTAGTATGTAATTTATTTTTTATAATATTAGTTAACGAACAAGCTAGTGTAATTTGTTTAAAAATATGTTCGGGCTCGTCCGGGATTTGAACCCGGGACCTCTCGCACCTAGTGTTGCCAACTTTCATCGACTACCGTCTTGAAAAATACAAAAAAAATTTAAACTCACCTTGACCAAACCTTGACCACCATTATTATTGCATATTTGATTATAAATATATTTGAAATGTGAGCAAAATGTAAATGTAAGTTTTAATTTAATTTAGTTTTATTATAATACAGTGTATTTTCCATATACGATACGGGCTTTTTGAAAACAAAAGTCTTTCCTATGAAGGGTTTTTAATAAAGGATTTGTTTTGCTATTGTACAAATAGGCAATAAATATTATTCTGGGTTTTAAATAGCGTGTTCATTATAATAAATACCTAAAATAGACATACGGTAATTACATTTGCTCTAACCTTGACTTGTCTATGTCAAGGTGAGTCCCTCGCCTTTCACCTTGACCAAAACCCTCCCACCTTGCAAATCAAGGCAAACCTTGACCAGTTGGCAACACTACTCGCACCCAAAGCGAGAATCATACCCCTAGACCAACGAGCCTCTTATGTACTTAATTATAATTTACAGATTCAATTAATTTATACCTGTTATAAAAATATATTAAATATCTAATTTATTTTAAGTAATAAAAATTTTATAAATAGCATAAATAGTTTTATGCAATTAAAATAAATATATTGAAATTAAAACTTATTTAATCACTTTATAATATTGTACACTTACCAGTAAATACGCCACACAGAATGATGAAAAGTAGCAGGGATGTTTTATGGATGCCCCTGCCAAGTGCTTCACCCAAGCCATCCAAATTAAACTCAAACGTTGAATTCCAACCAGTTTGGTTGACGTGTGCCAAGTAGGCCGACCAGTTGCCCGGTGCCGAGTGGTTACCCTGTGTCCAGTGGACCGACAGTTTCCACCGATTGTGATGGTTGTGGCTATGGCTTGAATTTGAGGTCTGGTTTACCTCCGGATAGTATCTATCCATCCATTCATTGGCGATCCGAGAGCTGAATATTATTGTGAAGAGAGCACAGGCTATGGACACCACTGTCCATAGAATTAGGAAATATTTTATACATTTAAAGTATTTGTCTCTCATTTTTAGCTAGATGTAATTTGAAGTATTAGTAATTGTTATTATTTCTATTGAATACACGAGTCGTGAAATATTCTGTAATATTAATACATGTAAGTTAATAAAAATAAAAACTTTAAGAATATTCTGTTAGTCAATATGTTTATAGAGTTTTTACTAACATTTAATGTAATGTTTTTACTAACATTACTTTCATTAATACTTATGTAAAAATAATTTATGATGATAATGAACTAGATACATGTATAAGCTAAAACATTAACTAGATCGATTAAATGATTTATTATCTCAGCATAGAAAGGAATATTATTATTATTATTTTGACATTCAATTTATTAATATTACAGAAATACACAGAATATTCTGTCTTTGAAAATAAACACAACAAATAAAATATAATAATAATAAAACACAAAAATCTATAAGATAGATGTATTTTCAACCTGTGGTCTCTCTCTCTCTCTCTCTCTCTCTCTCT